CGCTTCTAGTAACAAGTGCCTTACTAGTAGTAACAAGAAGCTATTAGAAACAAGGTTCGCTACTAGGAACAAGTGCATCGCTACTAGTAACAAGTGCCTTAGTAGTAACAAGAAGCTATTAGAAACAAGGTTCGCTACTAGGAACAAGTGCATCGCTACTAGTAACAAGTGCCTTACTAGTAGTAACAAGAAGCTAATAAGGAAACATATCCAGTATATATATTTAATGTAAAAAAGGACCTTGTTGAGAACGCTGAGATGGATGCGCGTTTTCCTCTTAAAGAAACTCATGCGAAAGCCCGTCACTGCCCACCTGACTACAAGTAGCAGCTAAGCTCATGACAACGATGCCCTTGGCTTGGCTCACACGGCCATGAACCAGGCAAACGTAGCGTTTGGAGACCTCCGTCTTGTGAAACCTTGGCAGAAACCATGTCACAGTCACCTCCGGTTGAGCCATGTCACAGTCATTTATTGGCAAATACCACCCAGTAAGGGCCACTTCTGAGTTGCCTGGCTGAGCACGCAAATGCTTGTGGGCCTAGGTCAGTGAGCTCACCGAGTCGAAACAAGTCGACGAGCTATGAATCAACGGACGTTGCCACATGGGGTCACAAACAATGGTCAGTTCACCGTATCACCCACTTCTGATTGAAACAAGCCTCAGGGTACATGAGGTGCAAAACCTTGGCATTCGGCCTCTGCCCACACGAGCTGCCCGGCCGTTCGCGTGCGAGCTGCAAGCAGAGGGCCACTCGTCTCCTTGAGGCTTCACGGGAGAAGCAAACCCTTTTCTCGTAACCCAAAGATGTAGGGACCCGGGAAGGGAAAAATGCAAATCACCTTCAAGCATGGTGTTTCTGCAAATGAGGGTCTTCTCCAAAGCGTGAATGGATTGAGCTGTCGGCCTCCCAAATCGAGCTGGTCTACACTGCCAAACCTTCCCCGCGGCCGCTTCAAAAGTGGCTTGCAGAATGACCGCATAGACTCGACCAAGGCTCCTGCGATCTGTATATCAGACAAACAAGAAGCTATTAGAAACAAGTGCCTTACTAGTAGTAACAAGTGCCTTACTAGTAGTAACAAGAAGCTATATCTGTTCCAGAACCGAAGCCCCACCGACCGAACCCCAACGAATTCCGCAGCGACTTCCACCTGGTCGATCCGGTGACTCAGCGGGCCGAAGCCGGTGCCAGACAGGGCCGGGTTGGACCTCACCGACCGCTGAAGAAGCATCGTGGGTCAGATAAAGATTTAAATCTATATATATATATTATATAATATATATATATAAATGCACAAACATAACAAACACAAAGAACACAACGCGCAGCCGGTGGTTCTTCTTAGACGTGTTGGCCGTTCGATGCTGCCCGTTCGTTTTCGAGGCGAAGCCGGTCGAACATCGGAGGTCTGGGCCGCTGGTGGGGCCCGGGGCTCCAAGCTCCACCTCGAAGAGTTTGGGATCGATGCCCTCAACCTGCGCGACGAAGAATGTGATGGGCCGAACAGTGCAGATGGTGGCGGTTTCGCTCCTTCAACTGGCGGTTTTGGAGCAAAAACACAATTCTGGGTGTATTCTCTGGGTATCTCTAGGTGCTGCTGCAGGAGTGCTGCTTCAGGATTTTGAGGGGATATGCTTCCTGGATGTTGACCTGGTGGACCAGGTGATCGGCATGCTTGACACAAGCAAAGGAGAGGTGAAGGGAGAGAAGCACAAAGATCTGCAATGACTCGTGCAATTGCCAGCATGAGAAAGTGATCTCCAGTCCACTTAGCTGGCAGGAAGACTTGGGAACATGCCCTGGGAGGTCTTTTCAAGATCTTTTGGAGAAACATTAATAAGCCAGTCTTGGCAGATTCAATTGGGCATACCACCTGTGTGCACAACAAAACAATAGGAAAAAAAGAAACAAGACCCCACAAGCCATGCGCTCAATATCCACACCCTCTTTTCCTTCTGGGTTGAATCCGTTGGCAGATGCAACAGGCTCCAGGTCTTTTTCGAAGGCCGGGCCTTCTCTTGTAGCCAGCTCGGAAGATATAGGCCGTCCTTCAGAAAACTCTTTGAGTCTTTGCTTTCCAAACCAATGCACTCTCTGATCCCCAGGTTCGCTCCAACAGTTCAGAAAAAAAAATAATGCAAATCCAGTCATCTCGCACACCTTTGACGCTGTTTCTAGACTAAAGACATTATGAGATGCACAAAAATGCCTTGGATTCAGTAGGACATACAGGCCTGCCCTGCCGCATCTTGACCTGGAGCTTTGGCAACCCCTGACCACTAGCTTTGGCGCAAACAGCTCCAGGAACCCAGAAACCCTCCAGACCTGCAAGCCACGGGCAAGCCAAGGGCAAACCAGAACCACCTGAATAAGAACTCTATAGACCTCACTCTGAAGGGTTTGCACAGTTGGTGAAAAGGCAAGACTATGGGCTGGCTCTTCGCTGGCTCAGATCCCCCCATCATACAGAAGAACCCACTGGAAGTATCCACTTCAGCACCCCTCACCCTGCTCAAAGGATGCCGCCCAACACAGTCACCCAAGTCCTGTGTGTTGGAAGGGAGTTCCACCTTCCAGTGGGGTGGCTTGTAGATCACCAACCTCAGCAACTCCAGCAAATTGACGCCACAGACCTCCCTCGCGCACCACGCCAACGCGCCAACGCGCGCGGCAAGCGCGCGGTGTGACCTGGCGAGGTCAGGTCACTTGGCCATGGGGCACTTGGTCCAAGTCCAGCATGATCTCTGGCCTTGGTTACAAGTGCCGTTGAAGACACGTTGCACCCTGGGGACTGCACATCCTTCGTGTTTGTTTGCTTCCTTTCTGCGAAAAATGTTGGTTTGTGGCATCGAACTGCATCGAACTGCGCCCCCATCGTCGCATGTCGTGCCCATCGCGACTTCCAAAGGCCGGTATGCAAGCCATGGGAAGTTAGGGGTGCAAAGGAAACCTCTCAAAGGGATCAGTAATGAATGGCACGTCTTCTCCGATCTCATTAAGATCTCTGCGATTGCTGCCCCTTCTCTGGACTGCGTTTAGACTTTTCCACATAGATCTTCGGAGCCTTGGTGTTTGCTCAGCAAGAACGAGAGGTTCAATCTTCGCGAACTTGGGAAGTCAAGTGGGATAGTAGAGTCGAAGAATGATTCTATATGTTTTCAAACTATATATATGGGTGTGAGTTCGAATTTCGAACCGCATTTTCCTTCTGCTCACTAAGCCCTGCTATGTTCCAGCAAAGCTAGGTGTCATAGAGCCCGTCCAACCATGGATAGAATGGATAGAGTGTTCGATGGGCTTCGTTCAGTCAAGCAGCTTGCAGCACCTAACTTGGGACAAGTGAGCAAAGATTCACTCCGAAACGTCCCAAAGACATCGCTACGAACGGAGCAAGGGCATCGCTACTAGTAACAAAGGGCATTACCACTAGGAGCATTCTTGCTACTAGGAACAAGAACGCTACTAGGAACAAGTGCATCGCTTCTAGTAACAAGTGCCTTAATAGTAGTAACAAGAAGCTACTAGTAGCAAGGCACCTTACTACTAGGAACAAGAACGCTACTAGTTGCACAACATCCGCCCTACACGGGGTCTCAGTGATCCCAAGGCAAAGAAAAAAGCGACTGATTCCACCCTAAGCTTCTTGTTACTACTAGTAACGCACTTGTTACTAGTAGCGATGCACTTGTTACTACTAGCTTCTTGCTCCTAACTCATTACCCCCCGCCCCCCCAGCAGGGCGGCCATGACCTTCTCCGTCCCACTGGGCGGCCTGGAGTCAAAAATCACGACACTCTACCAGTGACCTTCTACCAGTTTTTGCTTTTTCCAAGAAATTCCTCATCTCCAAACACCTGAGAAGACTTTGTGAAAAATCCTGCCTGTGTTTCACGCTGCCTGTGCAGTTCTAGCGTCTCTACAACTCGACGCGTCACATTTCTCCATTTCTCCGAAAACCGCCTGGTGCCGGCAGGACGCCTTGGCGCGAGCCACGTCGGATCCCCAGCTCAATGGATCGAACGTATACGGTACCCTCAACACGTCCAAAAGCCCCTTGCTAGAGTCCTTACTATCTCATACAAGTGGGATCTCAAGAAATGAAATTCACTACCAGTCTTAGTACCCTGTAATTACTAGGAATGCTGAGATCAAGACGGGGTGTCCAAAAAATATCTTCGCAAAGTTTCAAACAACCCACGCGAGCGCGCTGGGCGGGTCGCCCTACGCAGTCGCAACCTTTGGCACGGCGCTCTTGTGCGCAACCTTTCCGAGCACCATCCGCCGCGGAGAAACCAAAATGCGAAATCACGAGTACAGAGTTGCCAGCATCAGTAGCAGTGCTGGGTACAGAGGGTGAGGTGGAGACAATACGACAACATCAGGTGTCTCAGGTATCTTCGGGTTTTTTTCGTGCACCAAGGGGGGTGCAAAAAAACGAAGAGTTGCCCTCAGCTCTTCAAGTAATCCAAAATCCAAGACCTGGCCTCAAGTATGATTCAAAAATATTTAAAAAAACCGTCCATCCTATCCAAGGGTCTGTTCAAGTATCTTCAGATTGATCACACAGCTCTCTTGCTCGCGGTTTTCCCGACGTTTCCCGACGTTTCCCGCGCCTCCCGGGCTTCCCGCAGCCTCACGAGGGCGAAAGAAGACGAAACATCGGGCGACGACCCGGATCTTCTGGGGCGTTTGCTGGAACCCACCGTGGTTGCCAAAAGGAAGAACGGTCTAAACGTCCAATGAAAAGAAAGAAAGAAAGAAAGAAAGGAAGGAAGGAAGTAAGCACCCAGGGAAGTAAGATAAGGCGCAGTTCCTTGGCCTCTTCCAAACAAAGGCCGCTCGGCTCTTCTTGGGGTCTGAAGCACGATACCTGAGATCAGTGTGATCGCGTTGCTGGCAGAACTCCTGGAGGAACAGGCCGTTCCTCGAAAAAGACCTGGATCAAACACCAATAGCTGGGTAGCTGCTGTAGCTGACGAACAAAAGGTTCTTGCAGCACGTCTTCTACCCACCGTTTGCATCCTTTGCCGTGCCAAGATGCCATTGCACCTTCTCAGGCTTTTGGAGGAGATCGTCAGGGTCCATAAAGTAGGACCTGAAACAAGGCGGAAGAACTGATTGGCTGTCTCGTAAAGGTCCACAAGCAGGTGACTTCGATCACCTCGATGAAAATTTCCTTGGAAGACCGTCAATCCTCTACCAAGTATAGCTTCTTAGATGCTCCTTCGAGTCTCCAAACAACTAACCTAGCCAACACAGCAACACACTCAGCATACACTCGTTTTTGCTCAACCCGAAGCACTAAATCATACTCAACCTCGCACTCCTTATGACCGCGTAGAACCTCGCACTCACACCGAGCGCCAGCGGGCTCAACCATGAAGCAGGTCTCCCGGCTGGCCCCACCAAAGCCGACCAGCCGAAGCATCGAAGCTGAGGCGGAACCTCGAGGATGAACCAAGGCCGACGATCTGACCCGGGATGACCACACAGGGGAGGGGCTCGGCAAGTGGATCTTGTGCTGCAAACTGAACAGTCACTGACCGGAAAAACAATGTATATATATATATATACAAATCCAATGAAAACACCACTGTTCAGTTGACAGTGGTGTACTCTTGCTTTGGCTTCTCCTTAAATACTGTAATCCTTGCAACTGCACGAAAAACGAGAAGGTCACCACAAGTCAAGTCTGGTCACGGAATGTAGCGTTTGAACTTACTGTCTTGTTAGAAAGGGAAATGTATGGAAATGTTGATTCCATGTGACATCACGCCCCGACAGTGCTTTCCAATCAAGCCAGCGATCTTCCCGTGAATGCGTACGCTTTCAAACCATCCTAATAGCGATGGCCGCCAACCAAAAAGCGATGGCCTCCAACCTAAGAGCGATGGCCTCCATCCCAACAGGCTCCTATAGGGCTTGACATTACACGGAGTAACCTTGGGCAAAAGGTTGAAAAGAGTACCTCTCGCTGTGGCCAGTATGACATGCGTTTTGCTGGCGATTCGCCCGACTTCCATGTGTCCGAGTCCTGCGTCCGTGGCTCAACGCCCGGCAATGATGTTGTTCTTGAAATCATAGCAGGGTTGGCTTGGAGCCAAATACCTATGGGTTGTACACTCGGGGGGGGTATCCTGTCTATTCATCAACCAACCAATACCAAAAAACCCTCTATGAGGCCCAGGGCCTTCTGGATTCCCCGCCATTGCTTCGAACACCTGCAGCCGAGGGGGTCACGGGTCACAGGTGGACATGGCGCATCGCAAGAAACCCTTGCTGCCTGACGCCACCAGAAACACAAACCACACAAATGAGGATGCTACTAGGGGCTCCTGGCATCGCTACTAGTAACAAGAAGCTACTCCGAGACGATCAAACTCCGAGTCACCATCTGATCTGGACGAAAGATGACAGCCAAAGAAGACAGCGAAAGAGTTCCGTCACCATCTGACGCTGCTTGCTACATCCAACCCTCTTCCGCCCGTAGTGTGGAAAGAAAGGAGTTGACGACATGTTGTGGCGCGACCAGGGCCGTGGCATGACCAGGCACTATTGAACTCGAAGGCATAAGTCTCGTTGAGGTCACGCTCCTGACACATCAGGCTGAGCAGGTTGCTGGTTGAGGCCAAAATTGCCAGGTGCATCCCAAATTGGACTGTCGAGCAATAGGTCTGCCCAAAACAAACTGGTCTCGCAATCCATTTCCAGTTTTCATCCCTGAAGCGTCCAACTGAGACAGAGAACAGGCCGCCGACAACATAGATGGCCTCCAACCTACTAGCGATGGCCTCCAACCTACTAGCAATAGGCTCCAACCTACTAGCGATGGCCTCCAACCTAATAGCAAGGGCCTCCAGCCTAATTAGCAAGGGCCTCCAACCGAAAAAGCAATGGCCTCCAGCCAAATCTCCTCCAACCTAATAGCCATGGCCGCCAACCTAATAGCAATGGCCCCCAACCAAATAGTTGAAAGACAGTGGCTTCAAGTCGAGCAGAAATAGTCCGACTTCCGACTGTGAGTTTCCAAAATCCGCGGTCCTTGCCCCAAATAAAGCTCAAGGCCTTCTTCACTTCTGCGATGGTCAACGGCATAGATTGCTGGCACCATCAATTTATCCAAGGACGCTCAATGCAGAGTACTTAGCCACAAACAAGCCGGAGACACGCCACATAGTACCAAGAGGCAAATGGGCGCTACACAGTTGCAGGAATAGGCTGCGCATAGAGTGAAAGGGATAAAGGTGATCTTTAGTTCAACTGATGGAACAAAACTACTTTCTACTTGACAAGCGCTTTGCCTGTACTTTACTTGCTTGCAAACATGAACATTGATGAAACCATTAGTCTGCACTTGTTGCTCCTTACAGCTTCAAGCAACAAGGGTTGTTATCGAGGCGGCCATGACAAGGGTTGTTGCTCACCCTGCAGGACTGGAAAAGGATTTTTTGATGCTGTTTTTGCTTGAACCTGAAGCACCTGTTCTTTGACATTGTGAAGATATCTGGCATTGAATCTTCAAAGCACTTAAAAGGAAACCATATCCCAAGAGGAACCACTTCCCAACTCTAGCCATCAACAGTGCTTGTCCTTACATTATGCCAAAACAACTCACAGTCTGTGTCACTGGTTGGACTTGTGACAGCAAACATCCGTAGACATCCGTCACAACCGACCCGCCCACCTGAGCTTGGCGCACCACAAGCAGTGGCGACAAATGTCAAAGCTGTTTGCTCCATCTTGTGTGGAGAAACGCTCAAAAATGCTGGGATGATCAGAAAACTGAGTGATCCCATGTTAAGCTTCAGCTATGCTAAGCGTTTTCCTTTCAAGCTTCATGTAACCATGCCAAATTCTCAAAGCTGATGTCGATCTGTCCGCCGTTGCGAGGAATCTGAGGGTTGGTGGGCACACCATTCACCTCACGAGAGCACGCCTCTTTTCAAACAAAAAGGATGAGAATCTATTGAACCTTATTGCGATTGCCTCCGCCGTACTAGTGATCCCCTCCACCCTACATGAATGAGAATCAATTGAACCTATATAATAGCAAAGGCCTCCACCGTACCAGCGATTGCGTCCACCCTAATAGCAAAATGGATGAGAATCAATTGAACCTAA